CTATTGAATAAGAATAAGAGACTATAACTTTTTTAGAGTTTTGCTTGCGTTTTTCGACTGAATATTTCTTTTTCTGTTAAGCGCAAACTGGCAACCCTTTTTCTTTGATGTATGGTGCTTAAACACCTTTCATTTGCAGACAGAACTTACTAACTTTTTTTGGCGATTTCATACTATAACACAAACAACAAAAAAAAAAACGAAAAACTCAAATTCTGCAACGGAGGCGGACTTAAAACCCCGCCGCCCCGATTCCACTAGCTACTGTGACTTGCCAACCTTGTTGGGCAACCAAGCGAAAGCTTCTATTCTGAATCGAAGGCGGACTAAACCCCATCGCGTCGTGAATTAATCTATTCTAATATGGCCACGACATCGGTTCCCTTTTCATATAATAAATAAATCTTACATAAATAATGTAATGTAATAATGCAATTGACATTTAATTGATTAATTAATGATAGTAACACTGATGGAAATATATGTTCGATTGTTTTTTAATATTATACAGTAATTTACTAAGAAATAAGAATAAGAGAATAAAAGACAAAAATTATTTTAAGTATCTATACAAAATTTATTTTAAGTTTTGCTTGCGTTTGTCGACTGAATATTCCTTTTTCTATTAAGTGTCAACTGGCAACACTTTTTCTTTGATGTATGGTGCTTTGTGTCCTTTAACACCTTTTATTTGAAGATAGAACTTACTGACCTTTTCTACGCAATTTCAAACTGTAAACCCGACATAACAATAGGCGGACTTGAAACCCCACCGCCCCGATTCCACCAGCTACTCGTTACCTCCCCGGGCTGCTCGCAGCCCGGGGCAAACAAGCGAAAGCTAGTCTATAATATATAAAGATTAATAATACCTACACCATCCAATATCAACAACAGGAAAGATAATGATCCTTTACTCTTTTTTTTGAACACAGAAATAGTGCGACTGTCACGTATATCGGCAGGCAAAGAGTTCCAGAGTCTAGCAGCATGAACAGTGAAGGAATATGAAGCAAAATCCGTTATATGTGAAGGAGTTTGAAGACTTAAGGTGGGATCTGCAAAGAGCATCAGAAGAACGGAGAAAGGAGAAACGCTCACGCAGATAGGAAGGATAGACGGGATTATACAGGATGTTGAACAGAAGACAGACAATCCTGACATATCTACGCTGACGAATGGGAAGCCACATGAGCTGCTTACGTAAATGTGACACATGATCATACTTACGAAGACCATAAATAAATCTAATCGCTAGATTTTGAAGTCGTTCAAGTTTGTTTAATAACTCCTCAGTGGCATCCAAGTAACATGCATCTGCATAGTCAAGAAGAGGTATAATTAAGGATTGTGCTAGTAACACTTTAGTTTTAAAAGGTAAAAAGTTTTGAAGGCATTTAAGTGTGTGAAATGAGAAGAAGGTCCTACGACTAACCTCAGATACATGGGCAGTCCATGATAGATTTGAATCCATTGTAATTCCAAGAATTTTTACAGTGTCTGTTAACTCGATCTGAGTCCCATCCAAAAGCAGGGGTGGTAAAGATAATGCAGAAATAGAATTAATATTAAACCTGCTACCTATCACAATGGCCTGAGATTTACTCGGGTTAAGCATGAGGCCAAACGATTTTGCCCAAGTACTAATGCGATCCAAATCGTTATTAATAGCTACCAGTGCCGAGTTACAGTCTTCTATTTTAAAGTGTCGATAAAGCTGCAAGTCGTCTGCATAGAGGTGGAAGTTGGAAGATATAACTTTAGTAACCGAGTTAATGAAAATAGAAAATAAGAGAGGTGAGAGAACAGCACCCTGAGGAACACCCGCACCGAGGTCGCACCAATCAGAAGATTTATTACCAAGACGCACACGTTGCGTGCGTCCCCGAAGGTAGGAATCAAACCATGAGAGAACAGAAGGAGAGACATTGCAAGAACGAAGAATAGCGAGAAGAATGTCAAAATCGACAGAATTAAAAGCACTGCTGAAGTCTAGAAGAATAAGAACTGTAAGAGCTTTATTCTCCATAGCCCAACGAATATCATCAGTAATGTTTATTAAAGCTGTTACAGTACTGTGACCAGGGCGGAAACCAGATTGGTACCTATTCAAAAGGGAATTAGAAAAAAGAAAAGTTGATAATTTATGAATAATGATAACTTATGAACAATATGTTCAAGAAGTTTAGAGAGAAGGGGAAGAATAGAAATAGGACGAAAATGGGATGGGACTGAAGGATTAGATACTTTAGGCAGTGGAATAATGTGCGCCATCTTCCAAATTTTGGGAAAAGAACCGGATTCAAGTGAGAAGTTAAGTATGTGAACAAGTATAGGAAGGAGAAAAGATAAAATAGGGGTAAACATTCTTACGCTTAGGTTGTCCTCGCCAGCAGCCTCGGAAGAAATGGCTTGAATGGTATTTTTAATGTCAGTTTCGGATATTTTTGAAAAGACAAAAGATGTGCAGTCTGGCCTCGGAACCAGTGAAAGTTCTGCGAGCGTAGAATCCTTTATGTCACCATCGATAGTAGAAGGAGGAAGGGAGAAGTGTCTGTTAAGGACGCTTAAATCTACATTGGTAGACACAGTAGCAGTAGATTTCCCCACTCCTACAGAGTGCAAAAACCGCCAGGCATCAGTAGGATTGCGATCAGTAAGTGAGCTATGGAAGAAGCGTCGCTTAGCATCCCTACACATACGACTGCAGCAATTTCGAAGAACCTTAAAACGAATAAGATTGCGGTTAGTTGGACGTTTCTTGTATGCTCTTTTTGCCTTATCTCTTTTTTGACCACCAAAAAAATTTACCACCCATCCAATTGCCGGCCTTTGCAATCGTCGCTTAACCTCCTCAATCGCAGATCAAACGAGCTATCCGGCACCATCGAGCTTTTCATTTGTTTATATACGGATATTGCCGTATTTTTTTGTAAAATTCAATATATTTTGATGATATGGTAAGTATGAGCAAATGAATCGTTCCTCGATATTATTGAACAGAAAATCAAAAGCAGATCGAGCGTTCTACCACCTTCATACATTTGAAGTGATACCGCAGACCATGAGATTTGTGACCGATATTGACAGATGGTACAATCTCATGAGCAAACACTTGAGTTTTTCCATACATTTTATAAGTGCATGCGATTCGTGTGATATCGTTCATTCATATCGAATAACATCGCATCTAGCCATGAGAAAAGAACCTTAGGTTACTTTCCATTCGCATAAAGCCGCGGGCACAACTAGTTTAATATAATTCTAATTTACTACTTTTCCAAACAGGAAACAGTCCATGTTTCCTATGGATGACGAAAATATTTCGAAATCGTCGACGAAAAATATGGCACGAATATTTTTTAATTAATATTTATAATTTTATTGATATATTGTGATCGCTATTTATATTTATAGCCTATGATGTGGCTAAACTTGTTTCTTTTAATTTTTGTCCGATCTTAGCAGTCGTGTTTTTAATTTTTAAATAATTTTTATATTTTATTCATTTTAGTGAGCAGTTAATTTTGTATACAGATTATATATTTTTAATGGACCTTTAATTTGATACCCATAAAGTTATGATTATAAAAAAAACATACTTTTTAAATGGCGTCACACGTCCCCATACCTATTTAATATTAATAATTAAGCTAGTTTCACTGATACTCTATGTATTTTGTGGTAACTTAGGATGATGTTTCTAATGATACCCTGTACATTCATATCCGTTATATCTTTCAAAAGTTATGGTGCAATAAAAATACTCACATACATACATTAATTCTAAAAACAATAGACTCCTTTTCGAGAGCAGTCGTTTAAAATATTTGGGAATCGATAATGAATCTCACCATAGAAATACTAAAATAAATACAAAAATTGGGAAAAGTATCAAAATAGCTTGAACGTGGTTTCAACACAGTATTGTGGACTCGTGACCTTGAACAAGTTCTCGAGAACTCAAATCACAGAGTGAAAATTTGTCATATGGCTCTTAATAAAAAAGTTTACATGTAAAACAGATAACACTCTACTAACATATTTTTTCTAACATAACGGCGGCGCTAGAATACGATGTCATAAATTAAAATATCAAAATGAATATACATTTATCAGCACATTTTTTATACACCATATTATGTCACTTCTCCGGTAGGGCTACCAGATGGAGAGACTAAAATATTTGGGCAAAATTTGAAAAGATCGGAATTTTAGGATTACAGTCGTGACAAAAAATACAATCCACGTATTATTAATTAAATTTTAAGATACCAGTCTACTTTTTTTGCAAATTATGAGATCACATAATAATAAAACATATAAACAGCTAATATATCTACTTATTATATTTTTTATACAACCCTAGTGCGCTCATATAACATCTCGCAACCGGAGAAAAGTGACTGGTTTCTGGAGTTTTTCATGCTAATTTGACTTATACCATCAGGCAACTATCGTATAATAGCTCAATTTGAGAATTAAAATCAAAAATTCATTATTATCATCACAAGCAACACAAGAACGGGTCAGCCATGACCCAGTGCGGATTGGTGGGTGTTAACGACTGCAGATGTAGCCGACCAACGGCTTAACGTGTCTTTCGAAACACGGAGAAGTTCGATATAATAAATTTTTAGTTACCCATCTCATGACCGGCCCTTGCGGAGGTTCCTTGACAACCGTATCGCAGATCGAGCGCGCCAACCACTGCGCCATCAAGCTCCCGCTGAAGTATTGGATGAATTTAAATAATAATAATAATAAACCATGTTCTATACGAAGATTCTTACATCTGTCCTGGTACCACATTCTAAATAAAATTGTTCCTTTATTATTATCATTATGAATTTCATTAATCAACAGATTACAAATACTCATGTACTTATTTGAATCAACTATAAACATTCTGTCTATGTACAATTTATCTTTAATTTGTGAATCCATATAGTAATTTTGCATATTAAGGATTTCAAGAGATTATAAATGAATGAATTATTATGCTGTTTCAGATCCTTCTGGACGGTCCTTACGGCGCGCCGTCGTCACACATATTCCGCGCAGAGCACGCGGCGCTGGTGGCGGCGGGCATAGGTGTGACGCCGTTTGCTTCCATTCTCCAGTCGCTTATGCTCCGGCATTGGGCGGAGCGTGCCCAGTGCCCAAACTGTCACCACACCTTCCACGCCGCACCGCCTAGTTTCGGAAGCAAACTAAAGAAGGTGATGCATTCTTTACAGGGTTAATTAGGAGTATATATAAAACACCGTTTCCTGTTAACAAATGAAGTTTTCACATAAAGACGAATGAAGCTATCTGTGGGCAACTAACAACTTGAAGTTGTCCCGATCGAACTCGAGCCCGATATAATTTTATTTACATTGATTTTATGACAGTTCGATTTTATGACATACGATTTAATAATCAAATTGGAATGACAATTTGATCGCTAGGTTGGAGCAGTGGCATATATATGTGATGATTTAAAACTATATACTTAATACATAACAAAGTCAATTTCTTTACACCATTTATTCGTGGGGGTCAGTAAAATACCTATCTACTTTATAAAGATAGCTTGGCGGTAATCTGTTTTAATTCCACATGATGCGTTATGGTTCATTTCTGGTTGGTTTTTGTATTTAGTTTTAGTTTACTTGTTCGGGTTTTTCATTAAGAAAATATTTTCAATTTTTATGAATAATATTAATTTCTCGATTTTGCTTAAATCTTTTCAAAAAAGAGCAGTTATTGTAAACGATACCATTAGTTTTTTTTAAACTTAGTTTGTATCCCGTTTCTTAATACCAATCTAATTTAAATACATTATAATATCTTCTGTTAATTATTTTTTTTATTTGGACTATTTTTTAATTCAATTGTGTATTCTACTTCCTTCGTAGGTGGACTTTTTCTGGATCAACAGGGAGCAATGTTCATTCGAGTGGTTTGTGACCCTTTTGGCGAAGTTAGAAATAGAACAGGCTGAGATGGGAGACGAGAGGTTCCTGGACATGCACATGTACATAACTAGCGCTTTACAGAGAACTGATATGAAGGCGGTGGGGCTGCAATTGGCGTTAGATTTACTGCATGAAAAGGTATCAACACTTCCAACTAGTTCATGTTATCTTTGACGGTCTCCTTGGCCGAGTGACTCGCACGACGGTTTCAAAACAAAACAAATAATCTCCGGTCTACATTTGATCATTATAAAAAAACAACTTTTCTATATTTGCTCGGGTCTGGATGTTGTGTGTCTTAATTTGGGATCCCAGCAACGTACATGATGTTGTCTAATATTTATTTATCGGTTTAATAAAATTTTAAAGTACAAGACATACTTTTACTACAGTTTACAATAGTTTTGTGCCTATTATTAATTTATATCATTTTGTTGATGGCATGACTTACGTAAATGTCGTTACTTCTGTTAAGACATAAGAATGTTACTTGTATGCTAATATTATATTTGTTAGAAATATTTCTCTGAATCGTATTCTTTATCATTTCCTCTAGGAAAAACGCGATCTGATAACAGGCCTGAAGACCCGAACGAACGCTGGACGTCCCAACTGGGACAAAGTATTCAAGCAGCTGCAGGAACAGAACAAGGGCAAGATAACGGTATTCTACTGTGGACCGCCGCAGCTGGCGCGAGTACTACGCGTCAAATGTGACGAATTTGGATTCGACTTCCGCAAGGAGGTCTTTTAGGCCCTATTGTATTCTATGGAATACAGCTAGTAACAGCAGCACCTCGCTGAATCCATTAGTTAGAAGGCTCTTATTCCAGAGGCAATCGTGACACAAGGATGCCGGTCGTCGAATAACAACACATAGGTAATGCCAGAGAATCCGAATGAGACATGAGTTCCGATAATAGAGCGTGTGAATTTCGAGGAATATTTAGGTCAATTTCGAGGCTTCCAGCCATTTTTTAAGGTAGTCATACTGTGTTACTTTTAGAATTTCATACGTTAAGTATATTTCATACGCACAATTCTGGCAGACAATCTTACGTATACATAAGTAAGTAAGTCAGAGTGCAATTAAACGTTAAGAACATTAAAGTTGAATTCTAAGAACGGTTGTATGAAATTGCTATGACTTGCGCTCTGCTAAAAACTATGTAATTTCTATTATTCAGTGATTTTGATATACTCATTAATTGAAATAAATTGGTTCTGGGTACTTCGAAAATATTATTTAGCTTTTTGATATCGTGTTAAATTTAGAATGTATGAATCAAGTTGTTTTGTATATTATGTAATATATTATTATAGGCAACTTATAATTCTCAATAGTTATAAGTTGTAGTGATTGTATTCTTACCAATTTAATTAAAAATTAAATTACATGGATCTAATTCAATTATAGCTCTTTGTTTAATTAATTGATTTCATTAAATAGAATAGTCATGTCCTAATTGAATTTTCTATTTAGACTTCTAATTAGTAATAGCATCATTTGAGAATGGTTAGACCAGTCTAGTTTATTTTTAAGGTTCTATAAACATTTTTTTGCTGCACTGCATGTTTGCCTGTCTGTCTGTCATAGGAACGAACAGCTGAACCCAATAAAATTCAATTAAATGTTATTATTTGAACCCGAAAATTTAACAGAACTTTGTTGACGAAATAATTAATAATATAGTGTAAGCTGAAGGTAACATACAGATACGTATTAGATATAAGAGTAAAATAAATAAAATAGGTTATCGAAGAATTTTTACAATGAGATTAAATTAGGTATTGTACAGATACTACTTACTTTTTGAACTAGTTAATATGAAATTTTATAATATATTAGACTCTTTATAAATTATATTAAAAAAAAGTTTTGTAAGAGTCATGTAGTTTTCATAAGTGCCATTTTCGTAATAACGCTTTATTTATTAAAGTATTTTAGGATTTGTCTTCAATTTTAAATGATATTATACAATGCTGTTTTGTTGACTCAAAAAATAATCATTTTGATAATAACACATATACAATTTTAATGTATTTTAGTCATGGAGCTAATAAACATAACAAAAACCAACTCAAAATCCTTTTTTTAATATCCAGCGTACCATTTAATCGGTTATGTTTTAGTTTATTATATTTCGTTTTATATCTAGAAGATCAATGAGTAAGAATTATTTTACGTGACATCAATTATTTTAGTGAGTATTGAATGTGTATCTTTAAGCTATTTAGACCAGTGGTTTCTAACCTAGGGGTGTTACCTCCGGGTAACCAATTCTGTGTGGTAACAAAGAACGTAATAATTAAGACCAAATTTAAATAAATAACAATAAAACCATCTCAATATGGAGCATTATTTAAAACGTGGTCTAGGCGAAACTGCAAAAAACGTGAAAGATATTTGTTGGTATTACCAGTGTTTTAGGGTTGGGGTAAAATCAGTTTTTTTTCGTAAATCATAGGGGACGAAAATGTTAGGAACCACTGCTTTAGACGATTAGAGACTTTATTATAATATTTTTTGTGATAAAAAAATATATTACCAGTTTATTGTTATATTACACCTCTAGATGAATTTTATATAAAAATAACGAAATATCACTCTTCCTTTTGTAATTTTAATTATTTATTTACTCGTTTCGTTTTATTTTTAAATAAACCCTGGATTTCGTTGCAAGACTTTTTTATTCACTACTAGCTGACCCGACAGACTTCGTCCTGTCAAAAAGATTTGTAATGTGGCAGTTTTTTTGTCTACGTATTTCTGTGCTCCAACGCACACACGCACATTGTTTTGATAGATATGATCTTTGACGTTAGGAACACACCTACATTGCTTAGACAACAGTGAGTGCTTGTAATTTAATATGAACTTTATACCATAGCAATAAAGCTCAAATTGACTACGTTTTAGTTACAAATCATTTGTATGGGAAAAAGAAAAGGGCTATTTTTAGGATTTTTCCAGCAATAATTCTAATTTTTCGCCGTAAAAACCATCCTTGAACTTCAACGAACATTTAAAAAAAAGATTTGGCCAAATTGGTCGAGGCGTTGTTGAGTTATGCGCTTACCAACACATTTTGCCATTCATTTTTATATATATAAGATTGATAATACCCCTCCCAAAATATAAAGTCATTAGCATATACGTACTATAAATGATCATCTACAATTACGACATACTAAAGTTTAAAATCTATTAGTGTAGTCTTTTTGTAGTTACCTGACTACACAAAGAAGGCGAGAGGTCGATGAGAGTAAAGAGGGAGGCATCTCAATTGTGAAACAGCCCATTATATATGTTGGCGTGACGTCATATTTTATTGTTCAGTTTCACTAGTCAAGCGGAGATAGAGGACACCAGTATATATAAGTTACTTTATGGAGGACACTGACTGCAAACGACCTTTGCGAACTCATTGCATTGTTCAAAAAATAATGACCGACCAATGAAAGTGAGCCACTAAAATTGCGCACAATTCATCGCCAAGCCATTATAGTAATGATTAGGAAAATATTTCAAATATCTAAATAATTAACGCACAAATTTAAATTTAAATATCAATTTATTAACGCATATTTTACTGAATTCATATAAAGTTACGTCACAAACAATTTTTCCAATCCCTTTTAAGTTTAATGATTACAGAACTTGTGGTTTTCCCGCCACTTCGTCCATGTAAGTTATAGCTTGTTAACCTGCGTATGAAGGTTTTCAAGAATTTTCATGGTCGGACTAGTATTTCCGATGATTACCTTTTTTACGACGTTATAATATTAGCTTATATAAATTATAGGTTTTAAATAGATTAAAAAATGACCTCTTGACTGCTGTAGACTGTAGTTACATTGCTGTGTAATTAAATTTTTCAGACCAATATTTTAATATAACTCCAACGCCATCTAACGATGAGTAGAGCTCTGGTGAATTTAAAAAATGTTACCAATAACAACATCATCAAGTCATTATAGGTATCTATAAGTCTACCTAATCTATAGTAAAGTCATAACTAACACAGTAGTTATATAGAGCGCTCGGGAACATGATTCACAAGGACCGGCCTTCACTCAAGGTGAATGTTAAGGCCACGACCTTACCCGGGAAGGTCGACCTCGCCGGGACCTTCTGCCGAGGCCGCGGCCTCGCAGGGAGGCCACGTCCTCACCCCTGCGTAGAATTTTCGTGGAATTATTTTTAACTGTTTCGCGATAGACATTTGACGTCAGGATAATACGTAAGCACTTACACCATACATCACATTTTTTGCGTATTGCAAATTACGTAGACGCTCGTTATTGATGTCTCATATAATAATTCGTGTCATGATAACACGTGTTTTATGTGACGTATATATTATGATATCGAATAATGATATCGTTTTACTTCTTTTTCGCGAAATTTGCTAATACCTAAGAGTTATACCTGTGGTTGGCAAAATCTTGGTGGTTTTTATATAAAAGCTACGTTTACCTACCTATGTTAGTTTAACCTATTCTATTGACTATTAGCGGGATAAAAACTATTCTCGGAATAGGTAACATATCTTATAAAGCTAAGTTGTTACTTAAGTAAGAAAGAAACTTGCATGTTTTATTATTAATTAGAATTTATCATGCCTAATTCCTTTTTCAATTGTCATTTCTGGTATAACATGTATTTTTAATTTATTGGTATTTAATTATGAATTTCTTGGAACATATAACCAATATATATATTTTTGAGATATTAGGCTTATAGGTCCTTATTGAATAATCGATAGACCCGTTTTAACGCCTAATAATAACTTACGAGATAATTTGACAGGAGACGCTTATAAGCGCTTATAAAGATGGATACCTTGACTGAAAAAAAAAACGAAAAGCTCAGTGCACCTCTATACTTCGTAAAACAGGTGAGCCGTTAGTCCCAGCTGTATGCCCACGTGGTGGGCGGCCATTCTCCCGATTAAATTCCATCCATATACTTTTCGTACACACTGGCCTGTGGCAATGGAGATAATATTAAGCTGATGATAATTATGTAATAAGAAATTTATTTCAGGACTGGATCGCTTCCTCGTTATAATCTCCTTAAACACGATCAAGAAATGTGAAATCATATAAATATAATTGAAAGCTCTTATTTAAGTCACTATATATATTGATTTCAGAGTAAAAAATAATTTTCGATGGTCTGCCGTTCTGACTCCCACATTTACCGCCTTCGTGTTTATTTTTTTGATTCCTGAAAAATAATCTCCAGTCTCTTTTATAAACGGTAATTTTTACATAGGTGCACATTTGATTTATCAAAAAGAAACTCTGCGATGTGGTTTATCTATATTTGGTTACTCTTTGTTTAATACACAGATGTCAGTATATGTCAATTCATTAATTTTAAGTATATTACAAAAAAAAGAAGAAGTATATTACAAACAAACAATTTATATTATTATTATTATATATTATTTTTTACAAATTTTGAATCCACAATGCTATACTGAAAAATATACTCAATGAAAAATGCTTAAAAATCCACTTTGTCCTTGCCACTCTAAAGATGCTCGCCTGCGGTTCTCGACTCCGCAGAGCTTATTTATATAGTTATTTCGGTTTGGACCGATATCTTTCCAGATTCGACCAGTTCCTGGATTATTATGATGCGGAACTATTCATGGTACAGGCACAACTAGCACAGGTTCCATTATCGATATATCAGTTGGATGGGG